ATTGACGAGCATAGGTTAATGGTCCCCTAGACGCTAGTAAAGCAATTTAAGTTGTTAAAGAGAATTTTTTAGAAAGAGCAAGCGCCACAGTAGTTGGATGAAATATGATATGACTGAGGGATTAATGCAAGCAATAAATAAATCTACCTACAGGTGGTGCCAGATACTAAAACTTTAAAATAAGTTAATAAATGCGCACCAAATATGTTTTAGTTGTAGACCAAGCGGGAATTAGTTGTTAAATAAGTAATAATGAAAATAACTTCACTGAGCCATTCAGGGCCTCAGAGTATTATCATAGTACACACCTTAGCTGAGGCATCGCAGGCACCAGAAATAAAGGTGCGCATATCCGGAGCGAGGCTCAAGCTCATCACATCGCCGGTGTGGCCAGTAAATGAAGTGATTTGCTGCCCAGTGTCGATATCCCAGAGGCCGCTGCAAAAAAGAAGCAACTTGATTAGAATATGTTGAACGAAATGATCATTGAACAATTGTGATATAAATGGGTTAGCAGCGAACTGCGATTGAAAGCGCAGCAAGTTAAGAATAGCTTGAGAGTATGGCTATGGAGAGTTAAACTAAAAACATTGAAAAGAAAAAAACAATAAGTAAAAATGACTTGCCAGAAATCTGAATTAAAAAAAAGATCAATCACATGAGTAATTGGGAATAAATGGTTTAGGCGTACATAGGAATCGAGGCAGACTCACCATGTGACATCACCAGAGCTAGTAACTATTTGCTTGTCGTCGATAAATCTACAGCAAGACAAATATCCTGTGTGACCTGGCAGCTCTCTGCTAACACGAACATTTCCCTCTCTTGTTTTAAGACTATATATTGAACATATATTATCCAGGCCACCACATGCAACATAATTTCCAGAGGGTGCATAAGCACAAGTCATCACCCAGCTGCTTCGAAGAGGAATAGCGTGAACCTAAACAGCAAAGAAAAAAATTCGATGATCTTAATGTTTCGAAAGTCACAGAGAATTTATGCGGGAAACGAGGATACCTTATTAGTAGAGTGTCCATCCCAGACAATAAGTTTTCCGTCTTGAGAAGCTGAAACAAGATATCTCGAGTCAGTGGCCCAATGCATAGCATATATTTTAGCAAGGTGTCCTTTAAGGGTGCGTCGAGTGCGCATCTGGATCCGTCCAACGCCATCAATA